GCCTACTGACCTATGTTAAGACAGGTCCTTCCCAAACTAAACCCTTCTCACTTATGAATTTGTCCAACCAATCTTTAAAGCTACCTAAGCCATTAGCTTCTATGACTTTACTTGGCACTTTGCTCTACTCGTCTACAACTTTTATTACTTAACCAGTACTTCAGTACGTATCTCCTTTCTAAATCTAATTTTATCCAACTTGAATTTATAATTTCATAGTCTTTCCTGGTTAGATATCCTCAGTACTCTATTTATATCTCATTTAAATATTTATGCCTATTTTCAACTTTTATATTTCATTATCATCTTCCTTCATTTCACATTTTTCAGTATAGTGTAGGTTCAAGGATGTCAATCTATTTTCGTTTCCCAAGACATTTACAGTTTATCCATTCTGAGATACCTAAGAATGGATAAACTGCTTAGGCATGGCTGTCTTGGTTCCAGGTTTCTGCTTACCATAACTCCCAAGTCCTTTTTGCATTCTGTATGATCAAGTTCTATTTCATTTAGTTTACAAGTGAATGGTGAACATGTTTTCTCTTTTGGGTCACCTGCCTAGGTGGGAAATGACTGATTTGAAAAAAAAAAAAAGTCTGCCTAAACTGTACAATCTTTAAAACAAACTACGTAAATGAAAAGATCAAACTTATGAAGGTCTGCAAGGAACTGCAAATAAAAACCAGCAGCTGAAACAGAGTTCAAATGCTGAGTTGCTGAGTAGTTTGCACAAAATGGAACATGTCCATTACCCATTTAAATAAATTACATACAGGTTTTTTAACATAAAACTTCCTACTTGAAGCTTAGGTAGATGCAGTAGGCATATGTCCTAGATGAACAAACAAAAAAATTACCATAAAAAAAATATTTTCAGATATTCCAATTCCTGTGTTTCTGATAAGAGGCTGATTAATTTCTGATCAATTTCATAAAGAATATATTCTGACTCTGTAGATATTACCAAGCTGTCTAAATGAAGGCTGGAGGCAACAAAGATGTGAGTGATGGCAATGTATGGTGTGAATATTATGCAGAGAATTCAAATTAGTAGGTGTGGAGTTACCAAAGTTTATTATTTAGAGGGTTGAGGAGGGGTTGTTGAGGTGGCTTGGACATTTAGAGGATGGAATAAAATAGGATGACTAGGAGGGCATATAAATCTAGGGTGGAGACAAGGAAGGAAAGGGATCATCCTGTGAAATGTTTGGGTGCTAAGGACTTGGGCATCCAACAGGCTTGTGTGAGCACATTACACAGGAGTGAGTGAGGGTAAGTGGTTTTTATGATTTGACTTACTACTGGAGTGTGAGCAAGGTAACATTTATGAAGGGATTCAGAGAAACCTGCTAGCTGGACCTTGAGTCTAGGAGATGGGAAGTACAATGCCTACACTCCAAAGGAGGGGGTTGGGATGTTGTAGTTTGAAGGGTCATCTGAACTGTGATGTTGGTGCCCTTCTGGCAAGACAATGATTGAGTGAGTGACAGTGAAATCTTTCTTCTTTGTTGGGTCACCCTACCTCTGTGGGAGATGGTTAGTGTTAAAAAAATTGACAAAAGAATACAGTACACATATCCCTAATTTAGGAATTTAGTGAGACTGGATTGTACTGGACAGACTTGCTGGCTAGTAGACTCGAGAAGACTATAGCAAAGCATAAGATTAGTAAGGAAAGAGAATTATCCACTTCATGGATCAACATGGATGATGCTCTCAGGATCAAGTGGTGTCACGGCAAAGGTTGCACAGCCTAAGGCAATAAAGAACTGCATGGACAGAATACCTCATTACAAGTTCGGATAAGTAAGTAAACACTGTAATATTATAAGAGTCAGTGTTATTAGGCTGACTACTTGCCAGTATAATACACAGCAGATGATTAATAAATTAAGGTTCAAATTCTATAGTTATACTTATGAAATACTATGCAACAAAACTAAAAACATGAGTAAAAACTACAGCCTCTTGTCACAAACAATAGGTTTAAAAATAATAAGACAATTTGTTAAAATATTAAAAAGCCTACCAAATTTATGAGTTATATTATATTTTTACTTCTATAATTCTATGGCATTTTATAAAAAGCTTTATAGTGCAAAGGGGCATAATTAAGATTGAAAAAAAAGTAAAATATTAACCACATATCACAGATTTCAAAAGGTCAAACAATATTTACACGTGATTTTTCAATTACAGTGCCCTGGTGACTATCTTGATAAACTTGACTGCCTATTTATTGTGAGTCACCGCTTTTATCAAAACATTATTGCATATCTGTGGCCAAATTTAAGTAAACACAAATTTTTCTAACAAACTTAGCATATAACACACATTAATCCTCAGGTCCAATACCTTGAAGGCAACATGGAATATCCTAAAAATTCTACTGTACCACAGGTACGGTACTTCCGATCCATGCAGACAGATCATAGCGTGGCAATATAGTTAAATAAAAGAACATTAAACTCTACCTGTGCCCTGTGGTATATTAGTAACATTCAGATCAAGTGCTGCTCACTTTTCTACCTCTTCATCTTTACTTTCTCTGCAATGGTTGCAAAAAAAAAAAAAAAAGGGAGCCTCTATAACTATTATTTTCACTCTGATTTCTTGACAGTATATAACATTTTTCTCTGCAATATTGCCGACACTTAAAGCAAAGAATTTATGATTTTTTTAACAGCTGCTTCTATCTTAAGTTACATTTATCCATACAGATACACATATGGAGAAATCTCGCATGCAATAAATTGCCTAACTCAGCAGCATTGTTCATCCCTTAAAAAACATCCACTATATGTACTGTATATATATATACAGTAATCAATATTGTTACTGGGCTATGTTTCCTTGTGTGTATGTAATAAAGAATATACAGTATGTACATTATCTGAAAGAATTAGTCTAAATTACTGACAACTTTGGCATATATTATTCTTATGACAAAAACAACAGAATGAAATCCTTAATAAATTAATATAAAATACAGGACCTCTTCCCCGTACTCTTACTTTTACCATTCCTAAGAGTAGACCCTTTTCAATAGGATTTATGAGGTGTACATGTGACCATGAAATAACCTGACATTCCTCAACTCTAGGAAGTATAGATCTGTATTCTTATGCTCAGTCATCTTTATATCATGGAGACTGTTTTTACATCACTGAAAAAAACAGATGGTTAACCATCAATGAAATCCAATACTGTAGAACCCTGAAATTATGAATGCTATAAAAATTATGGGATGTGAGAAAGAAAAATTCTTAATTTGGAAGATAAAGTGCTTGCCAAATTTACATAATATAATGGTCAACCTAATCCACGTGTTCACACTTCATACACAATCTAATCACTCATTATCAATGAGCAATGAAATTTCACTGAGATCTGTAATAATATTATGATATTAAACATGTATGCATATAGGTATGTCAGCACCTGTACTATTATTTCCATAATAGTGTCACGTTAGTTACCAAATCTACAACTTTCTCCCTGATAACTTGACCAATTAAGACTTAAAATCCCTGAGTCCCTGGAAATGCTATACAGTAGTGGGTTTCCTAAGAAATTGTCCTATCCCCAAAACATAGCATATTTAGAATGGAAAACCCTTCTTCAGTACAGCTCTTAGATGACTGAAAAATGTTGAATAATCTCCAAGATGCACATAGTTCTTAGGAAGTTATTTCTTACAGTTTCTGTTGTTAGGACCTCTGAACCCTTGGAGAGGCAGTCATGCAGTGCCAGTGTTCAAATAAGCACCATTTTACTACAATAACAGCCTATGGAAATAATTTGTCCTTATCAGTTAAAGCAAAAACCTTAAAAGGAATTACTGAGGATTAATGTACTCTTCCTAATTATGGCAAGAGTAAATCGATGATTCAGAAACAATTTAAGTATGTTTTAATAATTTCATGGTAGTCAAAGTATGTGCTACTAGAATTATAGGACACAGAATCACAGCACCACGTCACATGGCCTATTTAAAATACATATGCCTCTTTGTGCATTATATGCAACCTGGTATTTGACCATTTTTACCACCCCTGTCAATGTTCATAAGTTTACAGTTATATGAAAAGCAACATTTGCTATGAATATAAATATTTTGCAACTACCTGGACAGGCAAAATTGGATGAAATAACATTTATTTACTGTTTTTATTCCCACATCCCATACTGCATAAATTCAGGGAACTATTGTATTCATACTTCTTTAACATCACAAGTATTATCAAGAAGTAAAAATGTCAAAAGCTGACACCAAATTACAGACTATTAATATACACTCAAAATTATGGTTATGCTGTCAGTGACATCAAAGCAATACAGTTCTATTTAACAATTTCCTGAATTGACAACTTAAAGAGTTTATTACTTTGCTAGCTACTTCAACTGTCAAATATAAAATATACGCAGAGCTAACTTGAAAGGCTCAGAATGACTGCTAAAACACAATCACACTGTATTCTAAGATATTCTTGCTCAAACTGCCCCTGTCCCAAGGGGGTGTAAGGCAATTCCCAGGTCACACACCCAAAAGCATAAATGCCTCAACCCCTTTTCTTCACCATACCTCATTTAACAATTACAGTATTTAATTAATATTAATAACTTCATAAAAAGGATTTGATCTTTGTTGTATTAGGTAATCTTTACATTAATAAAACTATATGACAATGATTCTAAAATGTTTTCTCAGTCATGCAAGTGTCAGTCAGGCTGCAGGGATGCTATGTCAGGGTAAGTTGTAAGGCTAGCCCAGACTGGCTTGAGAGAGACGTTTATTTGCAAGTGCACCTCAGCCTGGTATATCAACATACAAGGACATCTTTTTCTAAAGCCCATGTTATGAGGCAGATAAAGCCAAAGTGAGGTATGGTGTGATAGGGTAATGAGGATATAGGGATTTAGTGAGATAGTATTCAGCACAGCACACAGTGGTGGGTCAAAGAAAGGCATTGTGGTGCACTGCCTGCTGGTAACTGTACCTGTCACCTGGCCGCGCACGTTCAGGGATGGGTGGCGGAACAACACGGCCCCCGCGATCCCCCCCTTCAGCCCCCTCCCCAGTTGGGCGTGCTTCAAACACTGGAAGATCACCAACATCCACTCCTGCTCCAGCACCCTGCTGCCCAGGTGGCTGAGAAGTTAGCCGGGAACGCAGAAGATATACATATGTTCGATATCTTTTCACCTGTAACATCATGATTTTAGTAGTCTGGGTTTCTTTAGATTCCATCTGAAGGGAATATCAAAAATACAAACAAAATAGTTTAAAGCTACTGAATGTTACAGGACAGAACAAAAAGTGAAGATAAACCTTACATCATGTAATCAATAAGGTATTTCCGATTTATCCCAAGATATTTCACACTATCTGAATAAACAATTATAAACAATAGGAATAATAATAATAATAATAATAATAATAAAACATGAATGATCCCATCACTTTCATTTCATTCCACTTTCATCAATAATAATTCTCTTCTTACAAGTTATAAAAGATTCTGTATGTAATCCTTTGTCACACTTAAATGTTAAAAACCGAATGTGTTGATAATATTTTAACTTGCATAAAATATGCACAAACAAAATCATTTAAATAAATATTAAAAAATTATAAAACAATGATTTAAAGTCTATTAAAAACAATGTGGACTCTTTGACTAATATATATAATGAGTGGAGGGGGGAAACTCAAGATGGTGATAACATGTTTAATGAATGGAAGGGTGAGATTTGCAGCTGGGGATAATGCATTTAATGGGTGGAGGGACGAAACTCTCAGTTGAGGATAATATATTTAATAAGTGGAGGGGTGAGACTCACAGATAGGGATAATATATTTTAATGATTAAAGATATGAAGACTTGCATCTAAAGATAAGATATTTAATATGTTGAGGTGTGAGATTCACATCTGGGGATAACATATTAATAAGTGAAGGGGTCCCATACACTCCACTGACCGTTTCAAAGACATACACTGGGTTTCCCTCTCAGGGGCTGTATCTTTCCTGTGGAGTTTAAATCTTCCATTGATGGGTCTTTAAACACATCACAGAGCCAAACTCCTTTAGTCATCTATGTCTGATAAGCCTTAGCACCTCATCCTTGTCTAAAGATTTAAGAGACCTGGTTTTATGGACAACTAAAAAATGCCTTTTATGGACAAATCAATATTTGTGCTCTACCATGTCACTGGTACCTGGGTCATTGATGTGTGCTCGTGGAATTAGCCTGTGTAATTATGCTTGTGTGCTTAATTGATGAGACCTATCCAAGAGCCTGTGTGTGAATACAGTGGCAGTGTCTTTGGGAGCCACAGGATCTCCCTTGCTAGGCATATCGTATTCTAATGCTGGTTGTGCCCTTCTCAGGCTCCTGTTTCAGTTTTATACCCCATTCTGCTTGCTGGTGGTAAGATTCCAAAGCTGCATTTTCCCCATGGTCCCATAAGAAAAAAACTGTTCTGAAGGAGTGTGTGATATATTCTAAAGTGAGTTCCTATGGTTCTTTTACAAGAATTTTTTCATACTTCAAAACAGTTTCCCGTATATTGAACAACTAGTGTATAGGTACTATCACCAATTATATCCAGAATAACAGGTTGCAGCATTTCTTAGCTTGGTTGATAAATCTTTAACACAAGCAGCGAAATCTTTCTTTGGTGATGTCAGCAATAATACATACTAATGCTTGATTCTCTCCCATGACAAGCGGGGTGCCTTGCCTCATGTGGGATCAACTGCTCATTCAAGGATTGAAAAATGTATTCATTATTTGCTAGGGATGGGTCTTTGAGTTATTAAAATAGTTAACATTTGAATAACAGTTGGTAAATGCCACATGTCCTTTAAATTTTAAATCAATGTGAAGAGACATTCTTGAAATATTGTCTGGAAACAAAGAAGCTGAAAAAAAAAAAATAATGTAACGGTAACAAAGTATTTGTTACCACTAGGAATATTTAACCTGAAACATGATACATAATCCTAACCTAAAACAGTGATACTCCCAACCTAAACCAGATACCTAATTACCAACAAGAATTCAAAAACTGACCACACAATAATCAGGAATACAATCAGTGTAAGCTCATGATTTGTACTTGCAAACTAGAAACTCCTTATACATGAGAAACAATCATTTGCCCCATCCCTATCATGAATGAGTATGAACAGATTATTCACTCCTCTTGAAGGAAAACATGTTAAGTGTAGTGCCCATACAGTCCACAGCATCAGAGGGCATCACAGACTTGTAGTATACAATCTTGTGCAGCTAAAATTAATACTGAGCATTTCACAGAGCTGTAAACTGGACATTAACTGCTGGTGTTCCATTGCATAGTTAATAGGACAGACTTGTTTGCTTCTGGAATTAACCAATCAAATCCCTACAACAATGAATAGTCACATTTATTTACTAATGGGTTATTAATTATTGCTTCTTAAACATGCAAAAGACAAGACTTACCTCCTTGATGAGGTATGCTTCCTTTTCCCGATAATTGGACATGGAATAGGCTTTGCTATTTTTCTCAGGGGGGTGAGCCTTGTGGTCCTCCAGCTCCTGTTCTAGCTGTGCTAATCGCTGTGTATGGTCCTCAACTTGTTCAGTCTAGAAAAATAATAATAATCAAAATGTGGGTACTTGTTGTTATGCAGTGAAATAAATATTCACAAATCATTTAACTATTTACAGAAAGCCTGATAAGCAAGGTAACTCTAATTCATAAATGAATATGAAAATTCATCAGTCCTGACCCTATCCTATGATCATTTAACTAAGTATACAAGATCTAATCACAACCTAAGATTCTTTAACAATGCAAATCAAAATACAAAGTATCTATACTTTATTTTGGTACAATACCTCTTTTGCCTTCATGGGTCAAGTTTTTTGTCTCTGTAAATGCCTCAATGTATCACCCACCTTTTAACCCTCTTCAATTCTATGGTTCATTTTATCTTTCACAGATTTATCTGCTGACAAGTAAACTCCCTTTACTTCCTCTATACCCTTTCACTACAATCTGATAGCCAATCTTTCACTGCCAAGATTGTTTTTTTCACTCTCAACTCCTCACATTTTCCTATGTTCACATTTAATTTTCTTCTTTCATATGACCTCCCAAATTCCTCCACCAACCTTTGCAACTTCTCTCAGAATTTCCCAAAAGAACTGTCATTAACAAAGAGCAACTATGACAACTCCTACTTTGCATCAAATTCATTATCTTTTAGTCCCACACATCTCTCCAACATCCTAGTATTCACATCATTTGCAATCGTATCAAAATACATGGTAAACAATCATGAAGACATCACACTTCCTTAAGGCCCACTTTTACTGGAAAATTATCCCCCCTTTCTCCTACATACAAAAGGAAGTTTAGAGAGCCCAACTTGTAGGAGCAAACAATAGTTGATATGAATCAGACAGCATCAATTAAGAAATTAAAATAACATACCAGATTGAGCTTTGTGATACTACAAGGAAGAAGTGGCCGCTGGAACTTGCGTTGAGAGCCAACAGCTCCAGGCAGCGGAGCTGCAGAAAGGCTTGCTGCCACTAGGTTGATGGTGTCTATCCAGGCCTGAAGTTCTTTGCTATCACTGAGGTGCAAGCCACTGTATTAGTAACTCAAAACAAGACATACACCTTCAGGGGTTTCTTTTGGAGGGCATCATACAGTGAGGGAACATAAAATTACATGTCAAGTCAATAATTTTACTTTTATAATACCAAGGCTCTATAAGTGTAATTAATTAATTACACTTTTCAATAATGACTAGGTACTGAATGATTAAAGACTCTAGGAATGCTGCCTTTCTTTCAACAAATGGTCAATTCGGCAGTTCAATTATTACTATACCTTGTCTGTAGCAAATATTCAGCCTGATCAGCTGTCTGCAATCGGAAAACATGTTCCTTTTTAGAGTAATCATGGGCTCGAGTTGCAAGAGCATGATGCAGACGAATAGCATTGTGCCCTAACTGAGCATGTTGTGGTCCACGTCGGGCTCCTTGTTCATCTTTGTGCAAATACAGCACTAAATCCTGTATCACACAGAACCACATTTTCCACGAACGCTTCCCAAATGCAGCTTAAAGTAAACAAAAATATTATGGTTAATTAAATATACGTAATACTAGATCATAGATTTGAAGAGAAACACAGAATCACAAATTACATCCTTGCCAGATACATTAAACACCTTCAATTGTTCCATACTCTAGAAGAAATGTACAAACTTTTGCCAACTGAATTTCACATGGTTATTTGGCTATTATACAACTGCAATAAATTGCTCACATGAAATGAAATCTAAAAATGTGCTACAGACACTTATAAACAGTACTGTAGTAAACTAAAACTAAAAATCAAAAATAGAATATCAAAGTGAGGATCCACATAAAATATGACACTTCACTTGTTGCTTTTATATGCTACAAAACTACTATATTCATAAAAAGTTGTCTTGATACAAAAGAAAAATTAGGGTTAATTCTGCAAAATAAACTTGAATCTAAGGTCAAGCACCATAAATATTTTGCATATAGGAATAAAATGACATACTGCCAACAATAGGCAAGAAAAGACAGGTTGCAAAACAAGCTTGTTGGTACAGTGGACCCCCGCTTAACGATCACCTCCAAATGCGACCAATTATGTATGTAAGTGTATTTATGTAAGTGCATTTGTACGTGTATGTTTGGGGGTTTGAAATGGACTAATCTACTTCACAATATTCCTTATGGGAAAAAATTCGGTCAGTACTGGCACCTGAACATACTACTGGAATGAAAAAAGTTCGTTAACCGGGGGTCCACTGTATTTTATACCTTTCTTGCACAACGTGTCAGACACTGCAACATCATGGAATCTTGGTTCAGAGGATATCTACAAGACCTTCTTCACGGCTACTACAACTAACCCATCCCTTTGGGTAGGACCTACTTCCACTGGGGAATCCCGCCTACCAGTGACTATACCCTTGTCTGTTACACGTCCCTATCCACTGACGCCTATATAAATGCCAGTCTCCTTGCCTTTGCTCCAGAATCTCTACCACCACGGTGCTCTCAACACAAACTCCAAGGCTGAGGGACTGATTACCTCATATTCTGTATATAGTTCTAGTCTTCTAATTATGTCCTAGAATCTGTATTGATAAAGCCACTGGATGGCAAAACATCTACAATAAAGATACCCAGATGTTGCACATGTCTTAACATGTGCAACATGTTAAGACATGTTAAGGCATGTTAAGACATGCTTTTATTAGTACAACTTTTAACTCTGTTAGAGTTTTATCAAGATGTACACAGTAGTTGTTTTTTCTGACTGACTAGATGCATATACTCTAATGCTCAATAATAACCCACATGGAGATAAAAACTCTGGAGATTAACTGATCTGTACATTTTGACCCCCTTATAAGATCCTCTTCAGCAGAAGAGGATCTGCTGAAGAAGATCCAAGAAGGTTCCTCTTCAGCATGTGGGTTATTAGTGAGCATTAACAAGTGTTCATTACACTTTAGTTATTCATATACTGTAATGTTAAAGAAAAAATCACACTACAAGACAAGCATCAACCTGCTCACTTTTCTTTCCATTAGGATCAGTGCAGCACTTCCGCATGATGTACCCCTTCTTGTACTGAATGCCATTGCCAGTTGGTGGTGCGAGGAAGGGGTTGCTTCCCACCGCTGCCTGCGAGTCACCACCTGCACCACCTGATTTGCTAGCCCCACTACCTTCTGTCTCTCCATCATCATCATCACTGAACACATGTACAAGAATGAAAAGAACTGATATATGAAAAGACAAGTAAAAAGAAACTGAAATAAAGAACAAAAAGGCACAGTACTGTGACTGCAACAATATACAAATAACCCGCACATGGGAAAAAGAAGCTTTTGTTGACGTTTCAGTCCAAGTTGGACCGAAACGTTGTTACAGGTTTCTTTCTTCTATGTGCGAGTTATTTGTATAAAAATCGAAATAAATAACACACACTCATTTTCTGCAGTATCCTTCATATATAATGTTCTACTGTCAAAAATTTAATCAAAATCTTTATCAACAGATGTTTAGCTTTACTTGGTGATGTGTACTGCCCTATGGCATTTTGCATTAAGAAAATTTAAGTAATTATGATAAAAAATTCTACAGTTGTAAAAACAAGAACAAATCTAAAGAGACTGTAGATTTCTAGCTCATCACATATTAGCTTTAATTACACTGTAAACATATATCAAATTCCTGCAGCATACTCTGTTGCAAAGAGTTAAAAAATTTTGTAAAGCCATGCATATAATAAAATAAGTTTTTGTGAAATGCTGAAAAAAATGATGGTTCTTATAAAAGGTTATGTACAGTATCTCTAGTAATCAGGCACTCCCTGGCAATAAAAAGGTTATGTACAGTATCTCTAGTAATCAGGCACTCCCTGGCAATAAAAAGGTTATGTACAGTATCTCTAGTAATCAGGCACTCCCTGGCAATAAAAAGGTTATGTACAGTATCTCTAGTAATCAGGCACTCCCTGGCAATAAAAAGGTTATGTACAGTATCTCTAGTAATCAGGCACTCCCTGGCAATAAAAAGGTTATGTACAGTAACTCTAGTAATCAGGCACTCCCTGGCAATAAAAAGGTTATGTACAGTAACTCTAGTAATCAGGCACTCCCTGGCAATAAAAAGGTTATGTACAGTAACTCTAGTAATCAGGCACTCCCTGGCAATAAAAAGGTTATGTACAGTAACTCTAGTAATCAGGCACTCCCTGGCAATAAAAAGGTTATGTACAGTAACTCTAGTAATCAGGCACTCCCTGGCAATAAAAAGGTTATGTACAGTAACTCTAGTAATCAGACACTCCCTGGCAATAAAAGCACCAATAAGATTACTCCACTAACTGATACAGTTTCATCTGGAAGGAATTATTATTATATTTATCAGAAAGGAGGGGTTCGTGATATTAGCAGTTTGGAGGGATATGTTGTATATCTTTATAGGTATATACTTCTAAGCTGCTGTGTTAAGAGCACCTCTGCAAAAACAGTGATTATGTGTGAGTGAGGTGAAAGTGTTGAATGATGATGAAAGTATTTTCTTTTGGGGGATTTTCTTTCTTTTTTGGGTCACCCTGCCTCGGTGGGAGATGGCCGACTTGTTAAAACAAAACAAAAAAAAAAAAAAATTATCAGAAAGCACTAAACTCACAGGGGTTATACAATGACTTGGGAAGGAAAGGTAATCAGCTTCAGCATATAGAAGGGAAGAGGAGCTCTGATTCTTTCAATCAAAAACCCTTCACCCGTATCAAGGCATTTCCCTGAAGGAGTCTGGTAAGAAGTTTTTGACCGACTCCGACAATACTCACGTGGCCCACTGAAGTGGCTGATTACGCATGGCATGGTATAGAGACTTGAGCACTTCTCTTGGAAAATTTTCCCCATCATTAAGGTCTGCCAGATTGTCGATGAACTCATTACAGGTCATCTTGCGCCCTACACTTTGCCCATGAAGGTCCGTGTTTAGCAGCATCAGCGCACAAGTCAGGGTGTGAACAGCATCTACAATATAAATCTTTAGCTTTTAGTTTAAATTTTAAGGTTAATAATTCCATATTAATTTGGCACTTATCATAATAATGTCAACTATGAAAGGAAAGTGAATGGCATGGTGATACTGACAAGATGTGGAAAAAGACACGTTTGTACCATTTGGGATATTTACTAATGGAAGTATTTTGCCATGACTGGCTTCTTCAAATAAATGTCCTAAACTGTACATAAGTGGCTTTCTTTATCCTCACTTATGAAATTTACTCTGGAATGTCACTTGTGGCAGTTTTAATTAATTGGCATATCACTCTAATCAGCAAGTTTCTTACTCTATTATGATGATGATTCAGCTGCCTGTCAACAAATTCTGAAATAGTGTATATTTCCCTTTTTTGCATCCATTCTTTCAACAGACTCTTCAAACATTCTTATTGTTTTTTTCTTGGGTCCATTCTGCAATTCACATTATCTTTCATAGACCCATCTGTAATACATTCCACTCTGAAATAACTAAAGACACTGCTTAGATTTCTTACTCTCGTTACCTAGATCTTTTCAACCTAATTGTTCTGCACATCCTTTTTAAAAACCAATTTTAAGAGAAAATATTACTCTTTTTTTTTCTTACAAAGCTTCACTCTCCTTGTATAAACTATAATTTTTAACAACTTACCACCTATTTTGCCTCCCTTCCCTTATCTATCATTCACTTTTATGCACAGATGTAAGCACTTGGTCCACACATTGCCTTTTCTTCCCAAATCTTTGTTCCTCTGTAATCCAATTTTCTGTCATTCACATACTGGTAACTATTTGAATAGTAATTCTTTCATAAACTTTACCCTGTTTACTTAACATACTTAGTCCCCTACAATTCTTAACCTCTCTCTTATCCTTTCCCTTTCTCCTATACAAGGAAACTATGTATGCTCTCTGCTAATCCTTAGGCATGCTATTTTCTGCCCTAAATACATTATACAAATGTATGAATCATTTCAAAACAATATTTTCACCTGTTTTCAGTATCTCAGTCTTAATCACATTCATTGATGCTTACCCAACAACCTGCTTACTACCTCACCTACTTCTTCCCTTCCCACAAATCCTGTATGCTTCATAGCCTTGCAACTCAGTTTAAAGGCTAGCTTAAACATCAGTAATTTTGTTACCAGTTTGCTACTTACCTATTCTGTGCTTACCTTGTGAGTTGAAAGTACCAGGATTACATTCTAAGAATCGGTGAGAGAAATGAACTAAGACACGTTCTCTCTCCTGAGTTTCCCCTGCTAGGCAAAATTTGTCTAGAAACTTGCGAAGAGCCTTATCCAGGGTGTCTCCACGGAACTCAAAGTAGTTAAGGTACTCCTCGGCAACCGCTCTACTGAATTCATTGCTGAAGACATTGAAGAAAACAGATTTGGTCATGCATGAAATTCAAGAAATTGTCTGATCTATTATATTTATTTGGTTGATTTACCAATTAACCCTTAAACGATCCAAACAGATCGGCGTTCAAATTCGTAGTGCTACAAAAGTAGATCTACTTTTTTTTACATATTTTCAAATACAGTGGACCCCCGGTTAACGATCACCTCCAAATGCGACCAATTATGTAAGTGTATTTATGTAAGTGCGTTTGTACGTGTATGTTTGGGGGTCTGAAATGGACTAATCTACTTCACAATATTCCTTATGGGAACAAATTCGGTCAGTACTGGCACCTGAACATACTTCTTGAATGAAAAAATATCGTTAACCGGGGGTCCACTGTATAACAAAAAAAAAGTAGATAAAAGTTTTTTTACACGTCTTCATATGTAAAACAAAACAAAAAAAAAAGATCTACATTTTTTTACATACTTTCAGATGTTGAAAAAACGTATATATACATTTGGACCATTTAAGGGTTAAAGTAATCAAAATATTAATTTTTTTCTGATTTTCCTGAGAATGGTTAAGGTCCCCCCTACACCCCCCTAGTTTGTTGGAAGGGGTTTTTAATTGGTCTGATTCAATTACTGAGATGAAACAAACCATGAGCAATTATTCCAGGTTCTATTTTATTATCCAAGAAATAGGGTAAAACTTCAATTTTTTGTGATGAATTAAAAATGGAAGGCAAATGTAATATAGGGCAGGTCTGGGGATATGAGTTATGAACAGAGGAAATGTTTCAGTGCCTGGTATGTCAAGTGCTTATTTTGGACATTTTTAAAATTGCAACTTTTTTAATTTTGCTTAAAATTTGTCAAATTACTTATTTCTGTGCAATTTATTGGGTAGTTCTGATAGTGGAAAGGGTGGTTTCTTGTGTTCAATTAAAAGAATGGAAAATAGCAAAATAGTTAAGAATTTGGTTGAACAGACCAATGGAATTGGCTTAAAACCAGACTCAAAGTGGGAGAAATCACCAATGCATAAATAGCATTTACATAATTCTGTAAATTTTCCATCAAATTTCATACTTTTGGTGTCATTACTTTCAGAAGATTCTCAATCATTTCAGAAGAATTTTTTTTTAAAGGTGCACACTGAGAGCAATATTAATTTCATAGGTCTAGACAGTGAGAGGGCTAATTAACTTAATACATGGTAGAAAGACACTTGGTGCAGAGCAAACTTTTATTAAAGACTACATTTCACTCTTGGTAGAGCTTTATTGTGTCATGCCTTGAAGCTCTACCCTGGGAAAAATGCAGTGTTATAAAATCCTATTTAGCTCTGCACTGTGCACCTTTCAAGCATGCTTGTAGGGAATATCTGCTAGTCTTTAACATCTACTAATAATGAATTAGTACTTGCATATGATGCTGGAACAAAAGTCCATAACATAGTACAGTATATATTTATTAACAGGATGCAGCGATGCTAAAGTGTAGTACAGTACAACACTGTGTCAGTGCATTACATTCCTCTGAATGTCTTGAGTTATCTTGAAACCATGGAGGATGTGGATTCATTTAGGTCAGAGCTTTTGCCACACAGCATTCATTTTGGTTCAAATTATTTCATTCCATATGAATGACAGAAACAGGTGTTAGTGTCTTGATGCTGCCATCATCCAGGTCTCAAGAGACCTTCAAATATAACCATGGTGTCTTCACTATTTCAAATACACTTGCTCACACTTCTAAAATGTCACATTCCACATAATCCTACCCATGTAGATATTCTATACCTCACTGCCCACTCAGCAACTCAGATCTCACTTATACCTCTCCTATCAACTGAACCAACCTTCCTCTTAGCAATCTGACTGATGGCCATTATAAGGAAGGAGTGCAGTGTTCTCTATGTCACTTCTATGCCATTTAATAAAGCTCAAGTCATTTTAATAAAAGCTTGCTCTGTGTGTCCTATTATTTACATTATACATTGCTGCAAAGTGTTTTTCAAAAGTTGAAACAAAGTATACGTACACTTTGAGAGTCTGGAAAGAAAATGAAAGATGCTCAAATAAAAATAGTATCATGGTTCAGAGCACAGCGGTACTGTCTTCAAGGAGAGTTGGCATCAAGTTTCCACAGAGCAAGCCCTAATAGGAGAGTATAACATGACTGACCTAGAGCACATTACAGTTTTTACAGAAATTAATCAAGTGGGTATGTCATGCCCTGCAAGGTGATTAAAAACATTTATCACAGTTTTCCAGCCGTTCCCAGAAGAGATCATTATCAAGAGGTCAGTGGTCACGTCTAAGGATATAAGAAAAGAACTTTGAAGATCTTGCACTCATAACTATTACAGCCATTACAAAAGGACAGGGTACTGGGAAGACAACTCTTCTGTGGGGACATGAAAAAAATCAGATATAGATTCCTCCTGATGCTTAACAGACAAGTCTGCCTCCTCAGTAAGATGTTCAGTAGCTTGGGCACCAATAAATTTTACATATTTTTTATGCAAACCCACAAGGCCTTAGAAAAAATGAGAGGTGATGAAATAATTGCACAAATAGACCCAAATGCATTCAGGCACTGGGTGAATAAATTCAAATATAGTGACTGCTGCTTCTGTAAAGTGGCAGTCCAGTAGTATACTATTCATCTGCTATTTGCCAGACAACAGTTTGCCTCCCAGGGAAGGTGCTAGCTTTAAACAAAAAAGAAATATATAACTGCTTCACCTCCCCCCCCTCCCACCCACCCCAAATTAAAAATTGCTTAGATATTATAAAAACTTACCTAATGATGATAAAACCAGACTTATCCTGTCAAGAGGTGTTGTGAGAATGACAGGAATAACAATCAAGAGAGCAACTAGTAGCTTACATAGAAAATGGACAAGGGACAACTAAAAGAAGCTAGAAAAGTAAAATGATTCCATATATAGGCCATGAGTAAATAGTCCATTAAACTGGTAAAATATGGGACATCATCACTGGTCACTCATTACACCCTTGTCACAGAGAAATATATTTACTTATATAACACAGATTATACAGACAGTATTAGAAATCAGCAATAAACATTGAAAGCCTATCTACAAGTTTAACTTGTCCATCCCACAGAAAATGTCAAAAAAATATACGAATCTATATACAATCGATAATTATATATTAATTAACCAAAGAACTTTAATATAGGTAGTAGGTTGGTAGACAGCAACCAACCAGGAAGGTACTGTACTACTGTCCTGCCAAGTGAATGTGAAATGGAAACCTGTAATTGTTTTACACGATGGTAAGATTGTTGGTGTCTTTTTTCTGTCTCATAAACATGCGGGATAACAGGTGTATCTTGCTACTTCTACTTACACTTGTGTCACATTACACATGCATGTACACACACATATATTTGCACACCTATCTGGGTTTTCTTCTATTTTCTTAATAATTCTTGTTCTTATTTCCTCTTAACTCCATGGGGAAATGGAAAAGAATTCTTCCTGCATAAACCATGCATGTTGTAAGAGGTGGCCAAAATGCTGGGAGTAAGGGGTTAGTAACCCCTTCTCCCTTATACATTACTAAATTTAAAAAGAAAAATGGAAGGTTCATTAAAAAAAATAAGAACTTCAAGTGCTGTAGTTTTAAACTCTCACGAAACCTAATGCATTCATTAATAACTGGGTATGGCAATTAATAGCCTGGGGTGTGGTAAATAATTGTCTGGGTCTAGTAAATAAGGCTCTGGATCAGTAATTAATTTATTAATGAGCTGAGTTAGCAATTAATTATTTTGGTTTGGTAATTAATGATCTGGGTCTGATAATTATTTGGGTTAATAACGAATTATGTGGGTCAGGTAATTGATATTGTGAGTCTACATGTGGGTTTGATAACTAATAATCACCTACATCAATAAATTAAGTATACCTACCATCCGACTTACGACCTGCTCGACTTACGACCATGTGTTTTTTTTGCCAAATTTCTGGGAAATAAACAACTATTTGTGTTGTACACAGTGTTTATCCTAAACCTTACAGTATAAAATACAGTACTAACAGCATAAAAAATAAAGTAAAACATGAAATACCTAAATAAAACAATAAAATAAAGTCATTACAAAAATGTGATGTTGATATTCAGTAGTAAAGTTCGACTTACGTCCATTTCGACTTACGACCAGTTTCTTGGAACCGAGCTCGGTCATAAGTCGGATGGTAGGTGTATTTGATTTAATAATTATGTATAAATCTGGTAATTAATAATCTGGTTTGGTAATTAAGCTGGGTCTAGTAATTAAAACTAGGAGTCAGTAATAAATAATTTGGGTAATTCTTCTTCTAAGTCAGCTACCATACTGAATAAACAAATTATTATTAGGTAATAATTTAAAACTAGAAATTTACTTACTTTTTAGAAAGATGTCTGGAAACATCGGACTTCTTGAAGCCATCAAGGGTAATAAGCCGCTTTGCCAACCTAACCGCAGATGGGATGTCCACAGCCTTGGGACTGTAGTGAAAGCTGTGCAGAGAGTCAATGTCAGACTCATCCTCACTAAGAGGAGGAGAGGTGGTGCTGGAGGTTCGTATAGAAGCCTTGCCAGTTCCGTCTTCTTCTGAAAGACATGTAATTTCATCCTCAGATTCACGTAACTCCTGATAAGCAAGTGTATCTGGGGAGAGGGTGCCTGAGCCAGGGGTGGGCGGGCGAGTGTTAGTGGGGGTTATATCAGGGTCACGTAAGGGGTCATTAGTGTCCTGGTGCTCACAATGAAGGGGCTCACCACTTTTTTGTAAGTGTTGGGGTCGTTTTCTACGGCTGTTCTTATCAGGTCCTTCTACTCTTATTACAATCCGATTTTCATCCTGTTTCTTTACTTTGGCTTTATCAGAAACTAGGCCTCTATTCTCAGATGTCATTACACCACCCATATTGTGACCGTTGGGAAGAAAATCTTTGGTACCAAAACTATTCACATAAGAGGAAGGGATATGCAAAGTTGGAGTTGTATCATCCCACTCAAGTTCATCAGGCACATCTGTGTCCGGACTAGTTAGGCTAGAGCTGTTAGAGCAAACATTCTCAGATCTGTTAGAGCTGCCAAGCGAATCACGGCCACTACACATTTTATCGTACACTCCACTACATGAATACTGCATGGAGGATGTTGGAGACTGGGGTGAGGTAGGGGAGGGAGATCTGATCAGGGGACTGTCAGAATCATGGCTTGAGTGAACACTGTCAGGGGAAGTTGGGGCATTAAAAGTCCATACAATGCGGCGATCACGGTCCTCATGAGGAATAGGGGAAGTGCTATGATCATCACAAGTATCTAGAAGGGTGTTTAGTGAAGACGTTACATCATCATCAAGCTCTATGTTAACTGCACACATATTATCCTTCTGGTACTGCAGGTGATCTTCCGACTTGGATATTCTCACGGAAGTACTGGTTGGGGGGTAAGTAAATTGCACACCACTAGCATTACTATCAACAGACACAGGTGAACACAAACTCTGCGGACTTCCCACTTCATGTTTGGCTAACCTGCTACCACATATGTCAGTTTCGTTAGGACTTGTGGGAACACTGGCGCTACCTGACTTTCGCAAATCGTCAACAGTTTTCTGCTGGGGTAGCCAACTGGGATCATGGGAAGTCCGGGAAAGATTCAAAATAAGGTCACCTGTCATCAAGTACGCTTCACTTTTGGGTTTCTTCTGCCTGTTTCGCTCATTTTCTGTTGTTGTTCTATCTTTCAAATGCAAACCATTCTCAGATGCTGTATGGTTTGACCCATGGCTGATGGATGTTCTGTCAGAGGCATCAGACAGTGTGGGACTGGGAAGAGAAGGTGGCGTTGAAGAAGACTGTTCAGGCGGTGTTCTACTGGAAGATTTTTTGGCCTTGATGTGTTTTACACCCTGCAGGTCATCCTGAGTAATCGCTGTTCGTAATACATCAGGATTGTTTGGTGTTGCTAGGTATTGTTGTACACGCTGCTGAATTCCTGCATCTGTTGATAACAAATATAACAGGTTACAACTCAGTGATCATTCCATTTTTAATACACAAGCAGTTAACAGGATGCAATACATTAACAGATAGTATTAAAATAAATTATTATAGGAAAACAACTCACCAGTTTTTAGTTTAAGTGTCACTTCTGACGTTGATAAACGAAGACAATTGAGAACTGCAGGAGAAAAGAATAAGAGTTAGTGAAAGCCATTCAAACTTGTCACATGTTGGCCTTTCAATGTTATCAGTATTAAACAAACACATATGCACTTCTCAAAAAATATTATCAAACACTGGGATAAAAAAAAATACACATAACGACAAACTTACAAAAGTATTTTGCTTATTACTATATTTCTGTATCCTTCCCTCATCACTGGCCATTGTTCTCACTCTCAAGGTTTACCTAATCAGAGTTAAAGGCCTAGTAATTAGCTAAGACATAATAGTAAATATCATAAGTAGGATGTTGTCGCTGCTGCTGCCCAGCAAGAGTTCACTCTCAAGTGAGGCTGAGCGCTCAGCTGTTGGTTTATAAAACACACACATCAGTAAACACTAGGACACAGTATAATTATTTCAAATATAGATATCCTAGTGTCTGCTGGCATGTCTTTTTTTTTTTTTAACCACTTGCTGGTGACAATTACCAAGGTTTATACCAGCTCGACAAAGTTGGAGGATTCAAGAAGTCAAATGGGAAGTGTAACAAGGTTATATATCACTATTATCAGAAAGGTCATACCTGAAATGTCTGCCTGAAGCTGCAGGCAGAACAGGGAAAAAAATAAGGCTGTTGCTCCTTCTACTACATTAATGACTTAAGACAGAGTGCATTAGACTAATAACACCTTATTATGGTAAGACACTAATTACAGTGGAGCCTTGAAAATCGAACATACCAAATATCGAACGTTTCGAAAATAAGACCATTTTTTCGGACAAACTGTGTACCAAAAATCGAACGCGTTTCAAATTTCGGACCGCCGGGTACAGGACCTGTCCGCTGGCCCGCTCTGTCCGCGTCCCCGCACAGGCGCCATGAGCAGTCTAGCTTTGTTTATGCTTGAGTGAACACTAACCTGCGATCTCACCCACACATTTTACGATTATTTCGTTGTGTTTAGTACTTGTGGGACTGTGAAATAAGCTGCCATGGGCCCAAAGAAACTTGCTAGCAGTACCCCTGTGGTAAAGAAAGTGAGAAACACCATAGATGTGAAGAAGGAAATACATGTAATACAGAAGTATGAGAGTGGTGCGAGACTTGTTGAGCTTGCCAGGATATACAGAGGATTGTGGACAGTTATTTTGTGAGACAGAAACAGACGACTGTGGAGTTATTTTGTGAGACAGAAACAGACGACTGTGGAGTTATTTTGTGAGACAAACAGACGATTGTGGACAGTTATTTTGTGAGACAGAAACAGACGACTGTGGAGTTATTTTGCGAGACAAACAGACGATTGTGGAGTTATTTTGTGAGACAGAAACAGACGACTGTGGAGTTATTTTGCGAGACAAACAGACGATTGTGGAGTTATTTTGTGAGACAGAAACAGACGACTGTGGACAGTTATTTTGTGAGACAGAAACAGACGACTGTGGAGTTATTTTGTGAGACAAACAGACGATTGTGGACAGTTATTTTGTGAGACAGAAACAGACAATTGTGGACAGTTATTTTGTGAGACAGAAACAAACGACTGTAGACAGTTATTTTGCGAGACTGGGGTCCAATGACTCCAGATGCCATCACCAATCTTCAATAAAGGTAAGTAAAAATTTTATTTTATATTACTATACATAATTAAAGACTATAGCATTTGTTGTGTGTATGTAAAACTGTAATTAATCTCTATAAAATGTATTATTTTTGTGAATATTTTTTGGGTTTCTGGAACGGATTAATTGTATTTCCATTATTTCTTATGGGAAATATTGCTTCGAATTTCAGACTTTTCAAATTTAGAACTAGCTCCTGGAACGGATTAAGTTCGATTTTTGAGGTTCCACTGTACCTCAATCACTGATACGAAGGGATCAAACAAGGTTATGACCTTAAGGCATTCATTGTTTACCATCAATGTTAGTAAGTTTAATACTTGAACTGTGTCAGGTGAGATGTACACAGGTGTGGACACTTGTGTTTACGGTCATTGCTATTATTAGGCAGAGTACCTTAGGGGAAATGTACATCGGTGCAGATGTGTGGATTTGAAGTCACTGATTTTGGTAGGTAAGGTACACCCTCAATTAAACAGACTAATAGAGGAAAGTGGCTGGCTGGTAAGTGGATATATGATATTCTTTTGTTGTAATTTTAAAGTCCCAGAAGATGTTTCCCCGTATTTCCGAAGTTTATTAAATCGAGGGCTTATTGTACCTTGACCATGACAGATGAGACATATATATAGGTGGAAACATGTGTATTTACAATTGCTGCTTTAGTAGGTATAGTATAGAGTACCTTAGCTGTGTCAAGTAAGATGTACTAAACATGGGTATGGGCAGCTGCATTTAATCACTACTATTAGTAAGTACATTAACTGTGTCAGATGAAATCTACATGGGTGTGGACACTACTCTGTTGAAATGTGGAGATATTCTTACACAGGATATGCATGGACTCAAATGAACAGGCTAATCACATGAACACGCAGATTTATCGTGATCTTCTTCCTTATGAGTCACACTCATTGTTAGTCATTATGTGGGAGAAAAGTTGCTTGACTTTCCTGGTAATGTGGACCCCTCTCTTGAAATTACATAAAGAGGCAGAACACATTAACTAAATCCCCTTCAATATCTGTGCAATTTCTCAGCACAATATCTTGGATGGTTACCCCTAAGTGATGAGTGTAATTGCAGATAACTTTTCATATTAGCTCACTGGTCAAAACTGAACAAACTGCACTAACAGAACTGTGCGAGACCGTGCAAATCAATCCCTTATTGTGAGTGATGGTATACACTCTGCTGCAGTAGTCAGTCAGTCAGGCCACTGCTTCTACCATATTGGTATACAGCAGTGCTGCACTTCACAACACTGGTAGATAGCACTGTAACAGCTTCCACAACAGTCATTTTGGTACCAGATTGTCATATCATGCCAGGGGCCAGTAAAAGTATCTAAACTCACAGAAATACTTACCTTATACTGTATACTCTAAAACACAAAGAACAAATAAACCACTTCAGAACCAAGACCTGAAAATAATTAGTAGGAAAACAAGTCCTCTGTAAGAAAAGGCATTTGTCAAAAAAAAAAAAAAAGGATGTTACTGTACCTTAAATACTGAGGCAGCCGAGCTGAGGTTAATTAATCCTTAAACGGTCCAAACGTATATATACATGTATACGTTCACCCGCGCAGCACCCCAAATATTTTGAGATTTTTTTTTTTTTTATAGGAAAAAAGAGCATGTGGTACCCAGGCATCCCCAATTTTTTTTCATATGACACACACTGAGTGCGCACACCCATTCTCTCATGTCTAGGTGACCTAGGCCTATCGTGCCAATGTATATATACGTTGGCCAAATGTATATATACGTTGGCCAAATGTATATATACGTTGGCCAAATGTATATATACGTTCTCTCACTACGTGAGAGAACGTATATATACATTTGGACCATTTAAGGGTTAAGTGCCCAAATATTTCAAATATAACAGTAAAGTCTAACTATGTAACAATATATTTTGAGAATAAAGAGAAGAGACTTCAATTTTTCCAGAAGTTGTACATCATCCTATGTTAGCATGGCCCATGGTCGAGCTCCAGGAGTAGAAAAACTCTCGGAACTCATCAAAGGTATTAGTGATGATGTTCATAAGATTCATTCATGGCCAAAAACAAAATTTCATAAAATACTTTATGAAAGGAATGTGACCAAGGAAAGTGGTCAATAACAATATGAACCTAATTTAGCTAAAAGAATATAACAAAATATGGCTAGTGACTGAAAAATAAAATACTGTATACAGCATTAATAAGCATGCATCAGCCATGATCAGAAGACAGAGTCTTAATAATTACTTTTGTTGATGAATAATCCACACAGATGTCCTTTCCTAACCACCCACTTCTTAGGCGGTTAGGAACAGACTTTAGAGTAGGCCATAAAACAAAAGCATTAATATATATATATAGAGTTAGTAGCTAGTTAACTTTCAGTTACCAGTACATGTCCAATTCATGTCACCTAACATCAGCTGAAAATGATTTCCATTATATTATTAGTATGCAGGCTCAAGTGAAAACAAAAATAAAAATTTAAATCACAAAATCACTATTTAGCTTAATCAACATAACTGTGTGTGTTTCTTTAAGAAAATAATTTGACTGGCCAAATTTATGGAGCTAAATATTAAAAGGGAGAATATAACTGAAGATGTGGTTAGTTGGAAAATGTTTCATTAACCCTTAAACTGTCCAAACACAGATCTACGTTCACCTGCGTGACGCTCCGAATATTTTGAAAAATAAAAAAATCGTTTTTTTGTTTATAAATTAAAGAGAGGTATTTTCTGTGGTATAAGACCAAAAAATAAAAAATTTAGGACCAGTACTTACCGAGATATAAGACAGTGAAGTTGGCTCTGGATGCTCACCTGACGGCAACATCCAGTCCTGCTGCTTGCAGAAGTGTTGCCGATTTGCCTTTTTTTCTCGTTTTTATTTGAATTTATATAATTTTTATGTTCTGATAATTACAATTTATAATAGTTCTTGTGATTTCATAGCCAATCTTTGTTCTGACACTAATATTATATGCTGAAATTGTAACAATCACACTGACAGGTGAACATTTTCACCTGCCCTGGTCATTTACTATTGTCTAGAAATACATAAAGTATTTATAGGTCCCAGCAATGTTTTAGACATGCTGGAGCATGAACCTCCTTGAAGCATGGTGTTATGACAAGGGTCAGAATGTGCCCTGCTGGAGGGTGGAACCTTGCCTTTACACGTATATGTTTTTACTCTTGCACACAAACATGTCTGTTTATGTCTGTCTGTCAATCTATCTGTGCATTTATCTGTCTGTCTGTCTGCCCAGCTCTGCTTATCTGTCTGTCTAGTTCTGCTTATCTGTCTTTCTGTCTGCCTGTGTGTGTTTATCTTTCCATCTGCTTGTCTCTGTCTCAGGAAGCAGCTAGTAAACCTGT